TGAGTCAAGGTGGGTACAAAGTGAATCAAGGTGTGTACAAAGAGTTCAGTTGGGTACAATGTGAGTTAAGGTGGGTACAAAGTGAGTTAAGGTGGGTACAAAGTGAGTTAAGCTGGGTACAAAGTGAGTCAAGGTGGGTACAAAGTGAGTTAAGCTGGGTACAAAGTGAGTCAAGGTGGGTACAAAGTGAGTTAAGCTGGGTACAAAGTGAGTCAATGTGGGTACAAAGTGAGTCAAGGTGGGTACAAAGTGAATCAAGGTGTGTACAAAGAGTTCAGTTGGGTACAAAGTGAGTTAAGGTGGGAACAAAGTGAGTTAAGGTGGGTACAATGTGAGTTAAGGTGGGAACAAAGTGAGTTAAGGTGGGAACAAAGTGAGTTAAGGTGGGAACAAAGTGAGTTAAGGTGGTACAAAGTGAGTTAAGGTGGGTACAAAGTGAGTTAAGCTGGGTACAAAGTGAGTCAAGGTGGGTACAAAGTGAGTTAAGCTGGGTACAAAGTGAGTTAAGCTGGGTACAAAGTGAGTCAAGGTGGGTACAAAGTGAGTCAAGGTGGGTACAAAGTGAGTCAAGGTGGGAACAAAGTGAGTTAAGGTGGGTGTAAAGAGAGTCAAGGTGGGTAAAAAGTGAGTTAAGGTGGGTACAAAGTGAGTTAAGGTGGGTACAAAGTGAGTCAAGGTGGGTGTAAAGTGAGTCAAGGTGGGAACAAAGTGAGTCAAGTTGGGTACAAAGTGAGTCAAGGTGGAAACAAAGTGAGTCAAGGTGGGAACAAAGTGAGCTAAGGTGGGTACAAAGTGAGTTAAGGTGGGAACAAAGTGAGTTAAGGTGGGTACAAAGTGAGTTAAGGTGGGTACAAAGTGAGTTAAGGTGGGTACAAAGTGAGTTAAGGTGGGTGTAAAGAGAGTCAAGGTGGGTACAAAGAGAGTCAAGGTGGGTACAAAGAGAGTCCAGGTGGGTACAAAGAGAGTCAAGGTGGGAACAAAGTGAGTTAAGGTGGGAACAAAGTGAGTTAAGGTGGGAACAAAGTGAGTTAAGGTGGGAACAAAGTGAGTTAAGGTGGGAACAAAGTGAGTTATGGTAGGTACAAAGTGAACTACAGTAGGTTTCGCCGTCATTCTTTATATTAACATTAATTAGTAAAATAAAAATCAAGACGTTTTTTGTCGCTCTGTTTTCGGCCGCAGGGTGTTTGTAACGCATCACTTCCTGTTCTCAGCTCGAYCTTCCTGGAGAACAGAAGCTTTTATCAGGTGAATCTCGGCTGCGCTGGAGGAAATATCTTTACTGTAAATGTCTCAGTAATGATCCAGAGAGTGCAGATATTTCATTTAATTAACTCTAATCAGAGGAAAGAAGGACCGGTTCTTTTTAAAGCCGGCTGTTTCAGGAACATGTTTCTGGGCCGAGATGTTCTGAAGGAAGTGTGAGTCATTGTTTGTCTGATCAGGTGGTGGCGAGCGCAGACAGATAAGCGTATCATTTGGTTCAATCTTCACTCGGGACTYTATAAGTTCCACTAAATAAAAGTCGTGTGACCGCCTCAGATAAGAGGAAATAGAAAAGGAGCCTGTTGTGCCGTTTGAAGCTGTGAGAATCGTGATGTGAGCGTGACTCCAGAACCACACAAAGTAGACTCTGTTAGCAGCTCTGAGACTAATTCACTGGGTTTGATGCAGAACTCACAGATTATTGGACCAAAGAGTTTATTAGACTCATAATTCTGAGGAGAGAATTTTTTTTCATTTCCTTTTAAAACTGAGCTGATGAACTAAAACAGGGCAGAAAAAAGTGATGATGTAAACGTGATGAAAAGAGATGAGGTCGGTGATGTCAGAGCAGGAGGATGATGGTTTACTATCGACAGGAAGCTGTGAGGTGATCCATCTGAGCTGCACTCAATCCCGCTCCCAGGATTTAACAACCTGATGACATTTTAAAGCAACAGTTTGACATTTTGTGAAATTCACCCGTTTCTCTTGAGTAGGAGGTAAACTAAACGGTAAAACCCCTCCCAGTTTCCTGTGATCCAGTTAGCAGGAAGTAAAGTTTCTTTGATGCGCTCTACGGTACAGAAGCTCATTGAGGTCACACTTCTATTCCATCCAGTGACTGGTTTAAGATAATGTTTTAATTCAGTTTATTTGATTTATTAACAACAAAAATACAAACAGGACTTCCTTTAGCTTCTTGTGAGCTGATTAGATTGGATTTTCTTTAGTTTAAGGAAAAGAGCTAACAGTTTTAGCTAAATAAAAGTCAAAGGCATATGTTCAGCTACCATATTTATGCAAATGTTAGTTTGGCTAAAGCTAAATGTAGCAAAAAGGTATCAAATGCTAAAAAGCTAAATGTAGGCTTGTTAAAAAAGCATAAAACAAACAAAACAKTATAGCTACAAGTACCATAGGCTAGCAAAACACTAAAAGTTAATAGCAGCAAAAGAATGGCTAAAAAGAGAAAAACAGTAGCTACAAGAAAAAATAGCTAATGATTARCTAAAGGCTAAAAGTATAACAGCAAACCTAAAGAAGAAAGGGGTATCTACAAGTTATAACTACCAAAGGCTAACTAAAAGTTWAGTTTCAAAATGTTAGCTAAAAGGAGAAAAACWGTAGCTAYGAGCTACAAGAGCCAATGACTAGCTAAAGGCTTAAAGTATCACAGCTATCTTAAAGAAGAAAGGAGTAACTACAATGTATGTTGCAAAAGTTTAGCTAAAATGAGAAAAATGGTAGCTACAAGAACTAAAGGCTAACTAAAAGCTAAAATTAGAGGAGACAAAGCTGACACGGACTGTAT